GTAAAAAGTTTATTGGAAGTGATAAGTATTGAATTTACATTTTGAAGATATCGATTGATAACTATATCGACAGAAGACCATATTTTTTAGAGACAAAACTTAATCCGTCACAAAATCCGTCACTAATTTCAATAAATGGCAGTTCGTCACAAAAAATAAAATTCCCTCACAAAATTTGTCACTATTAGTGACAATATTTTTTCCGTCACAAAAATTCGTCACAAATATTAATTTTTCTAGTAGTGCTGGTTTTATTAACATGTTTCTGCTTTCTTTCCCAACACTTTGGGCTGCTACGAGTTGGTGTATATGGAAAATGAGGAATGGTTGCATTTTCGAACAAGGGGTCTTTGATGAACAAAAGCTGACACAACAGGTATTGTTATTCTCATGGTCGTGGTTGGCAACTTTTAATAACTCATTCTCTTATTCCTTTACTCAGTGGCAATCAAATCTGGGCCTCTGTATACTTGGATGATGATCCTCTAACAATAGGGATAGTCATGTGGCAGTTTATAGAGGTGTCAGATGTTGTTATTAAAAGGGGTGGCAGATTAAAGGGTCGGGGGATTTCTGGGTTATTGCTGGGTGGAGTATTTTGGTCTTAAGGTATCATGGACGGGTGAACACTCGGTTGACACGTCCTCTATAAGGATGATGATATGTTGATACTAATGGTGAACGATGAGGAGGTGATGATAATTATGAGTTCGATGGAAGTTAATGGACTATATAGGTGAAGCAACATCTCGGTTCCTATTGAATATGTGGAAAGGTCTAAGTGTGCACGAGCTATATTGATAAACACGCAGCAAGCTGTTGGTTGATATGTATTATAATCTACACCTACGAAGCCTACGATGACACATCTCATAGGGCAACCATGTCGACCTTAATTTATTGCTACAATACATATGGCGTGGCACTTAAGTGGTTAAACAACTGGAAAATGTGCATGGGGCTAGTGAAAGACATGGTAAACGATGCGGGACAAGATAGATAGTGGTAAATATTTGCGTGAAAATTGTAGTTGGTGATTAATGTAGTAAATCTACTATATTAAGACCAACTTTAATAGTCACAATCTTGTACATTGGGTGTTGGTAACCCTTATACCATTACATTATATAAATATATAAATATTGCTTTGCTGTTCAAAAAAAAATTCATGTTCTACCAAACATTGTTTTCAATTCTTTCTTACTCCCAAGTTGGACACAAATCTCATTATTTCAATTTAGGTAAAAATCCTATATTTGTTTCATCTCTCACATCATAATCATTTCAATTAAAATCAATAATATCATGAACCCTAACTTTATCAAAACAGGCAATACAACAATTTAAGCAATTCATTCATTAAATAACTACATCATTACAAGTCAATAACAATCAATTAAACAACATTCCTTTGAGGTATTCAAAATGCCTCCAAGATCATACCCAATAGAACGTATAGGATTGAGAAAAAATCTCACTATCCATAATTATTTCACACACCATGAGTGAGACAACTGTTAAGTCTCAATTATACTTCTTTTTAGATAGGACTTATTGAACAATTCCACTCGTCTCATGCACTCTTGCAATATAATTGTTCTCTTTTTGATTCAATTTTTGTGCATATATAGCTAACCCAAACTCATCTAACAATACCCTGATACACCTCATTTTTGTGCAGGTATTGAGTGAAGAGTTGAAAGTTGAAGACTCATTGGATTGGAAATTAAAGGAGCTAAGGAGCAGGAGAAGAGTACCTGCGCCAGGCGCAAGAAGAAGATACGCCGGGCGTGCTCGAGACAAAGAGCAACTTAAACTCTTTGGAAGACATCGCACCCGGCTTGAGAGTAATTGCGCTGGGCGTGTCTTGAGACAGAGAGTAACTAAACTCTCTAGAAGGCCCTGGGCCGAGCGCAAAGCATAATGCGCCAGGCGTGGTAACCCTAACTTGACTCACCCAGCTCCTATTTGATCAAGTCTTCGAGGATTTTTTCCTCATTCACACATTGGGCGACTTCTAGGAGCTGTGGAAGGGATTCCCGGTGCTTGGGACCATTCGTGTGTGGGTATTTCCTTCGGTTCTTCCATCTCTCTTCCATCTCTATTTTTGTTTTACCCTCATTGTCTTAAGCGGTTCTACCCATTATTTTGTGGGGTTAGATGTAACCAACGAAAATCTTATGTAATCTTCATGTTATTAATGATATATATATATGTGTTGTTTCATTCATTGTTGTGTATATTTCTATTCTTAATGCTTGCTTTGGATTGATTCTCCTTTGCTTGATATAGAGTCCATTGGATATTGAAAAATAGCCTTTTGAACTAGCTCTGAAACAAATACCTAGTGAGAAATGTATTTAGGAATGGAGCTTGGCCCATTAGTAGTCTTAAACCTTAACCCGTAATGTAGGTGTATGTATTAGATACTCAAGGAATTGATATTCATTACTTGCACCTAGGCTTTTGCTCTAAGGGATTAGGTTTGAGTAAACTTATGGGTTGACTAGGCAATGAATGTAACAAGAGAACAAAGATTCATTAGTGTGAAGTTTGCTGATATCTGACCCCACAATCTTACAAAATCACAATACTATTTCTATCCTTTCCACACACACATTAATTATATCATAGGTTTAAAATTTCAGTAGTCATAACTTTTATTTGAATTGCACGACAACCTATGAAAAATTAGAATTATTCTTTAGTCACAAATAGTCATTAAATGTTTGTTTTACCTACTAGTTTCTGTGGATACGATTTAAATTTACTACTTGAACGACCGGTATATTTGTCGTGTTTGAGTCCATTGTCAAAGTTAAAACGATTTATAATAAGAACAAAAGTTAATGTCAACAAAAATCTCAACAACAACTCACTTTTCCTTATCTAAAAAAAGTTTTTGCAAAGATAATGGTGCAACAAGACGTTCTTCCTGCTCTCTTGTAGCTCTAACCACATGAGATTCTACGACATAAAGCGTTTCAAGAACAAAAAATAGAAAAGAGGATTTAGGTAAACTAGTAATTTCAATTAATATAATAACTCATTTTCAAAAGTATTTTAATTAATTAATTTTTGTTTTATCTTCTTTTCAAAAAGCAGGGATGTTACACCCCGTGCATAACATCTACTCGCAATTATGCACAAATTAAGATTTTTACAAAACTCCTCAAGCTCACTCATTATGCATACAAGTACTTTAGGTTCAACACATTTTTAGTTTAATAGTCATAGACATCAAGTCATACAACAATTGTAATTTTCTCATCAAAACGGCATTTCAATCACAAAACATAACTATTCAAGAACCTTAAATACCACAAATTCAAAGAATAATCAAATCGACCGATTGAGCAAACAATTCAATAAACCATGACAGATAAATAAAATGCTTTACTCTTCAAACGTGCGACAAAGATTCACTCTTCAAACGTCTCGCTCTTCCATTCGCGGTTCTATCACCATGGAGATTTCCAAGAGATAAAGTAAAAATATAAGCCTAGGAAAGACCAAGTGTTAAATCCTAGTGATTATGAGTTGGACTCAAGTTCAACACTTGTTTTTTTTTTTTTTTAAAATAAAAAATGAGTATCATATTTTCTAAATTATTTTCAGCCTACTAATTCTAAAATAATCATTATTCAATTAAGAACCATAAAATAACAAATTTAATATAAATACTATTTATATATATAAATTTGAAATAAAAACTAAGGTGTTGACTATCATGCAAGGACAATGACGTACACAGTTGAGAATTATTGGGCTTGAAATGTGAGGTTCACAACCTAATTAATGCCAAAGTATTTGAGTTTCATCGAAGATAATTTCACATGATGGATATGGTTGGTGATGTGTCATAGAAAGTGTTCATGCAACTATTTATTTTATACGAGTATTGTTCAATACATGGATAATCAAAATTAAAAGTTATTTAATAATCACATGATGCACTTAAAAAACAATATGTACACTTTTTTTATATATAAAAAAAATAATCTAGTGATCTATACTTATAATTCTTTTTTTTCGTAAAATGAATCCTTCTCATTAGTCATTTAATACGTTACCTCTCTTTATATCTTAGTTTAATTAATGCGTGCTTTTCTTAGCATAAAGATAATATTTAACAAAATAACTTCAATTAGGCAAAGCCCATAATCTCATATATTCTGAACGTTCAAGAGTCGGAAAAATGTGCGACGTAGCTTCCGATAAAAACACCAAAGTTTCCGAGTCGGCGCAAGGGTAATCATTTACAAAAACTTGTTTGCATGTGACTCAGTGGCTCGTTCTAGTGACTTAACGTGTGAGACACTCATAATAGGTTAGAATCGTTAGGTAGGTTTAAATTACTGACTAGAATACCAAGAATCAAGATGAATCGACAGCTAGTTCCAGAATCCAGACACAACATTGTGCGTGTGCGTTTGATAGATATTGTCAGTACTGGAAGGAAATAATTTTTGGACAATACCGGAGAAACAGGAGTCAGGCATAGCATAGGTGCTCACTGCTCTGTGTAAGGACACAGAAGGATTCCTCTCATTCCCAATTTCAAGAATCTCTAATGCTATTTGAGGAAACCCTTTCAAAAGGCTGGTTTTGCATTAGATTCGTCGATTTCTCGTAACAAAACAAAGTTCTTGCATTTGCATATGCTACGCACTAGGACCACCACGCCTCCACCACCTCCTCCTCTTAACACACACAAAAACAAAACCCTAAAGTTTTTTAGTATACCAAGATGATATATTCTTCACCACACCAACTTTACTCTTTTATTTTATTTTATTCACTGGTAAGTAAAATTATATTTGTCGAGAACCTGTGGAGTTCCCGATTTAATGTCAATAACAACTACACTACATTGTTGTAATCTCGTGCTTACAATAGTAGATATATATTCTCGTTTATAACGATTTATGTTTATTTTAGGCCTATAAGGTAAAGTATAGAGACGGGAAAAAAGTTGAATAGGAAGAAGAAGAACTACATTAACAAAATGAAGAGACCTGGCAATGGCAACTAATATGAAGCATTAAATAATACACTGCGTCCTCCATTCAGTTTTGAACTCAGGTCCCCGAAATAACCATTGATAACTTAACCAAGCACACCATCAACCAAACTTACAAGAAAAGAGAAGAAGAAAATAGAAGGCTAGAGAGGGAAGAAGAAAAAGTGCTAGATCCATATTCATATACCAACCACCCAAACAAAGCAACCACAAAATAACCAAACACTTAAGATACAAAGTAATTAATTAGGAGCACTATGCCACTATCTAAAAGGAAAAGAAAATTTAGACGGGAAGAAAATAGAGAGAAAAACAGTTATTTCTGTTACGGATATGCACCAGCGCCATTCGTGGTTGGAAGATCAGACCAAGAAAAGGTTGGACCATTATTCCAGTATCCGAATTCACCCCCAGCAACCGAAGTTGTCTCCAAAATGTTGTTGGACAAAGAAGAGGAATAGTTAGAAGCCATGTTCCCCATAAACACTTGCGACGAATTGTCACTGCAATAATTATTAACCGATGATGACCTTAACTTCTGGTAAAGCTCTTGAATTCCACTGTTGTGATGTTCCCCATGTAGGAAGCCCCCATGATCTTGATTGTTTCTCCCAAAGAGACCGAGCGAAGGAACTTGCGCAACCGCGTCATACCCTAAGGTTCGGTGATTCAGCAACGCATTTGAAACCAAGGGCTCAGTGCTCACCATGTGCCCCATTAGGTTCCCTTCTTCCTTAACGGACATGGGACTAGGGTTAGGGTTAGGGTTTGGATTGTGTGTAGCTCTCAGCAAAGCCAGAAGGTGAGTGTTTTGCGGGGAACCCCAAAGGATTTGGCTTGGTGGTGGAATTTCATGTTCCACTTCGAATCCACCGAAGCCTGGTGATTTTCCAAGCTCAGATGCAACGGTTTTCATCTTGGTTGAGGCTGTCTTCGCCACCGAGTTCGACACTCCGATGTTCTTGTTTTTCCGGCAGCCGCCGCCGATGGGGACGTTTCGGAGAGCGCCGCCTTTGGTCCAGTAGCGGCGGCACGTCTTGCAGAAGTGCCGCGGCTGAGTGAGGTTGTAGTTGTTGTAGTAGCAGAACTTGGTGTTGGATGAATCGCATCGCGGGCACCTCAGGTTTTGGTTTTCCGATGAGGTGGTAGTAGTAGTGGTGGTGGTTGTTGTGGTGGATGTGAGGGTAACATTATTGGCTGTGGAAGAGGGGGGTGGTGTAGTTGAGAGGTGAACTCCTCCTCCTCCTCCATTAATGGAGGGTTTTCTTTCTCCTGCTATGAGGCCAGCACCACCCAACAGTTCTTGGATCATCTTCTTTATCTTTGTGGATCTACAACAATCCAAAAACGCGAAAAGCAAAAGGGTGGAGAGGCTTTTTGAGTTAGTGGAGAAGGAAAAGCGAAAGAAAGTGGGTTGGCTCTGTGTATGAGTGAGTGAGAGAGAAAGAAAGAGTATATAGATTGGAGTAGAAGTGTATGATGACACTCGCCTTTGGGAATTCAATTGGCCAGCTTCGTTGTTTTATGCTGGTTGTAGGACAGCTTCGTTGGCAGTCAGGTACTAGTTGTTGCCAAAGAATATATAGAATTGGGGGCTGCTAATAATTTATATTTATATTAATATATTAATATACTCTATGCCAACTCTTTACACTGACAACAAGTTTAGGTTTCCTTAAATAAAATTATAGGCTTTAGTTTTATACATGAAGAAAAATAGGCACATGATTAAAGGGGTTTTATTTTCTTAATTAAAAAAGTTTATTAATTAACTTATTGGTGTGAATTAGTTGAAGTTCAAAACACATCTTATAAATATCTAAGACGTCATAAAATAAACTTCTGCAAGAGAAACAGTAAGATAACGTTGAGTTTCCACTTTCTTTCCATTTAGGTCATCCTAACAACCCTTTGATGTTGGAAAATTTTGACTACAAGTGACCGGGTATAATGAGTGCAACATAGATATCATTTTTTTTCCCTTAAGCTCATTATTACTTTCGATCTTATATGACTCCAATTTCAGTTAGAAGAGGTTTATTAATACACTGATCATTACATCTTCTATCATACGTGCGGTCTTTGCTGAACCAATTATGAATTATGTAAGGGATGAAATCATTTTGTTTGTCCCACTTATGAGTAAACAGTGCCAGTAAAGACGCTTCGTTAATTTCTATGCATCCAAACAGTTTGAATTCCCTTTTCTCTTTGTTTGAATATCAACAGAAACCTGCACACAGTGGATTTGAATTCAACTTGGTTTTTCCTATAAACGTTTATCTATGTGGTCGAGTGCTTCTCTTTTATGCATTGGGTGTTTTATTGCTATTGCATTTTGCTTCCAAGTATAAATTTAACTACCATGAAACTTTATAGATCTAAACTGATATTTAACATTAGCTCCTATTTTATTGAAAGAGAAATCAAATCAAACTCATTTTTGTTTCTTTTTTATTTGCCCCGTTTTTATGGAAATAAAATGATGTGTGAAGAAGGATATATGTAAATTTATGATGAAATAATTTTTGTTAAATTAATGAGCTAGTAGGCTCGTATAACAATAATAATTAATAAAATAGCAGAAGTGGGAGAAGTAGAGGATTGATATATATAATGATAGGAAAATTCAGTAGTAATCAAGATATGTTGTTAAAGATGAGTAGTTGTTGGCGCTTGTGCAAGAAGGGATTCATTGTTTTCTTTAGCTGAAGATTCTTCTCCGTTCAAAAACCATCATTACAAGTTCAAGGTGAGGGCTAATCACGTGGAACTACGTGTAAAGCTGATTGTCCCTACAACTACTAACTAAAAGAAAGAGCCACACTGCGCGCCCGAAACTCATGGCTTCAATTTAGCTCTTCCCCACACTCGCTCCCCCTCGCCAAAACAAACACATGCCCATTGTCCTCGCTGTGGTACACAATCACTCAGGGAAATATTGAAACTACACTGACCCTATATACAGGTGTATATGGTTCACTGTTATATGGTGGTGAACAACGGACAAACAAGGAAATGTAACGACCAATGAATCGGTTCATTAATTCTTTCACATGACCATTTTCTATTATGGCTTATTTTGGAAGAACTTGCTCTCATGGGAAGCTTAAGAAAGCTTCACTATTTAATAATCTTATCTGTTTTCAGTTTTCATATTGGTATAGACTGAAATAGGAGAACTGACCATTTTTTATTTTCCTAAGAGAATGTGAAGAGTAAATGTAATTACTAGATATTGCATGCAATGTTAATATTAGAATATTTATGTTCTTTGGCAAATGATTCTGTTTAAGTTTGTTAATACCATTCTACTTCTCATGTCCACTCTGCCTAACGAGACCAACAACAGTGTTTCATTCAGCTAATGTGAACTGTTTGTAGGTATTACGTTTTTATATATTGAAAACTATTATTTCTAATATTTTAAAATAAATATTAATTTAGGTTTAATAGTGATGCACGCACTGTTACATAACATTTTTTCTCAATTACTTTAATAGCACATCTAGTATTATATAACATGAAAACTTTGGTGAAATTCTTGCTGCAAATTATGAGAACTAATTCTACCATGCATGTTGCTTTGTTTGGGACTCATATAAAGTTGTCTCTCTTGAAGGATATATACTCTTTAATCTAGAAAAAAAAAATGAATTGTATGATAAGTGATAAACGAGAAAATAGTTAAAACTAAATATTGGACATGAAATTTGAATGCAAAAACAATAGAAACATCTTTTTTAATTATAGGAAAACGAGTAACAACTTTTTAAAGTCTTTCTTTTCAATTACATCTTTTAAATGTTAAGATTTGAATTTAAGACTTTATTTAAGATATTCGAATTCAGTTTTACTCAAATTAATAACATGTTAAGAAACTCAAATTAATAACATGTTAATAAAACAATCATGTGAATATAAAATATTTACAGCAAAGCAGCCTATCTATTGAAATATGAGACATTACTTTAGGACAATTAAACATATACTTCTTGAACCAACATCTTTAATAATAATTCCAATATTTTTTCCATTACTTTCATTTGGTTTGTCATAATAATATGTTTTCTTTTTCTCTTAGGTAAAGTCGGGATTCCATCCTATAATGTTATAGGTACGTAAAATTTGATCTTAGCCAAAAATAGGGACGTGAATTTTTACTAGAATTATGTTGCTTCTACCACAATCAAACACAATTAGATGGAGACACTTATTTTGTTTCAAGTCTTTAATTAATGAGACACTTAATCAATCAAGAATACTGTAATTTGAAATTTTAAATGCAAATACTATTGATTAAAACTTATCATGATCGAAGCCTATTAAAGAAATTCGGTGCGCCTATATGTGCACCGTAATTCTCTAATAGAGGTTGTATTGAAGAATATTTCCTTGGAATTCTGGGTCACGGTCTGATATGATTACTTGAATTGATCGAAAGGTATGCGATTAGCGGAAATTCTTCACTAGGTAACAAAAATACTCTAATCACAATGACTAAAAGGAGCACTCACGAAATCAAGTGTTCATAATACTTTATATTGTTTTATCTAATTGCATGAAGACAAATTAAACATCATCGGGACATCACTTGTAAGCATATATTATTGAGCGAATTATGCCAAATGTTACAGTAATCAGTATAATCACAATTAGGTACATGATTATGTGAACAAGCTGACTCGTGTAAACGGTCTAGTTTCAAACAACTTTAATTTTAATTAACCAATTCATTTGCTTACCTAAAAAATTCTCAAAACACGTTATTAAAAGTCAAGGATAATTAGTTAGAGAAACAAAAATATGCGATCACAAGAGACGGAACGAGGAGATTCTACGAAAAGGAGCGGGTCTATATGTTTCCGATTCGCTGAACCATTTGTCAATCAAAATTTTGATTGATTGAGAGACACTGTCGATGATGAATGACAAATTAATCTTAGTCACTTAAGTTATAAGATAGCAAGTAACCAATCAGTATTTGGTGATCTCTCATTATCTATTTAGTCGTATTAGTGATATTTCTTTGATATATATTCAATTATCCAAAAGAAATATATAATTAATTACTTGAATAGCTAGCTATCCATGTAAAATTAATCGTCTGGCGTGGGCCTTGACTCATTGAGACTGAAAGAATCCAAGGCTTTATAGTTTAATTAACTTAGACTATTTGATTAACTGAAGGGAATTATAGTGTTGTTCTTTCACCTTTGATTCCAACTTTTGGAAAAGCTAGCTAGCCAGTATAAAGATGAGGACTAAGACTGAAAAATTTATATGTTCACATCACATATGAAAATGTTGAACAACCCAATATATATAGCCGGTCTCATTCGCACTGTGTGACCAAATCAAAACATTCTCCAAATATAAAAAACAAAACAAGTTGTTGTAACAATCCAAAGTATGTGAATCTGACTAGCAAAATTGGCATGGATGATGTTTGTTCGAAGCATGCATGAAAATCCCTAGAAGATACATAGTTAATAGATGATGAGGTAGTGAAATTACAAGAATGTGAAATTAAGAGGGTGTGTGCAGGTGTACGTTGAGATGGACTTGACTGGAGACCATAAGAGTAGGGCCAATACATACATAATGTCACGTTGGGAGGGTCTAAGAAAAGAATAATAAATTGAATAATGGGAAAGGGAAAGGTGAGGCAGCACGAAAACAAAAACTGGGAATGTCAATTATTGGGATCGAAATACTGAAATGTGATGTGATATGTGTACGCAGAATGAAGGCATCATAAAATGAAATTAATTGAACAGCCTGAGCGCGCGTGCCGTCCGGAGAGCGAGACAGGGTCTGAGTGGTTCAGATTTTATGAGAATTCAGAGCTCAGAAAAATCAGAAGAGATCCAAGACCGACATGCCTTTTAGTCCTTACATTAGATAAACATAGTAGCTAGCTACGAAATGAAGCAAGGATCGATTTATGTTATGTTATGTTATGTTATGATATTTGCATCACATTAGTGCTGTGTTTGGTGTGCAAACTTTATTCCCTCAAAAATCAAAAGTTGGCATTGGCCGGGCAAAGCGGAAAACGACGCCAGCTTTGAGTAAAGACGACAACAAACACTCTCTAATACATATGTTGGGCAACGCGGGCAGTGCGGGCACCTAGACATTGATACTATACCCTATGGTCGCCGTCAAGGGCCCTGCCTCGGACTCTCACCCTGACCCTGACCCTGACCCTCACCACCATCCTATTCCATTCTCTCTCAGTTCCATTATGCTACTAGTTTTTAATTATTTTCTCAGACAAATTCTTATATAACTCTAGAGTTCTTATATAATTAATTTTTTTTTTATTGGACTACTGTGACATGATTTTTTATATGAACAGGTTCTTATATAAGAATCGAGTTATTGGAGAAAAAGCAAGTAAAGTTCTTTATAAAGTGAATTAAGAATTCAAATTAATTTTTTATTAAATAAATAGAAGAAATTCTTAAATGTTATGTGACATTAAAAAAAGTGCATTAACCTAATAATGTTCGACTTTTTCTTCGATCAATAGTACACATTCACAGTGTACTAGAT